GATTGTGCCACCGGGCTCTTCCGTCGGGGTTGGTACGCGAGGTCGGCCCTCGTGCCCCCTTAGGGTGCGTCCTCCGTCGGGGTTAGTACACAAGGCCGGACCTCGTGCCCCCTTAGGTTCCCCGGGGGGGAAGACATGAGTGAGCACTCGTTCCCCCCTGTTTCACGATTTTTTCCTTTTTTTTTGTTTTGTTTTGTTTTTTTTTTTAAGGAAGAGAAAATGCATGAGAACCACTTTGTAACAAAAGGTCCTGCGCACAATGTATTTCGTAACATGCGATTTTATTCCGACTACTGTCGCTCACTAAGACATTATTGGGGAAGGGGAATGGTCCTCCTCCTAGAATAGCAATGCCAAGACCCACCTCTCACGGGGTAGGTCTACAGGTAGAATTTTAGCAGGTGCTCTGAGTTCCAGACCCTGACTATCATCTTTCCTTTGGGAGTTTTGAGCTTGTAGCTGCCCGGGCGGACCACGGCTGCTATAATGTACGGGCCCTCCCAATTAGTGGCAAACTTTCCTCCAGCTTGGGGCTGGCTCGCCTCCCTTCTCCTGAGCACATAGTCACCTACTTGAAAATAGCGGGGTCAGACCCGCTTATCGTGGTATGCCTTGGTCTGCCTCTGGTAGTTTTCAGCTCGGATCGCAGCTGCTTCGCGCCTGTCATCAATCAGGTGGAGGTCAATTCTATGGTGTTCCTCGTTCGTGTCAGGGTCGTAGTCCTCCTCCCGCCGGGAAGGTATGACTACCTCCGCTGGAGCTCGGGCTTCGAAACCGTAGGCTAAGGAAAAAGGTGTTTCCCCAGTAGCCCTCCGGGGGGTGGCGCGGTAGGCCCAAAGAACGGCGTCGAGCTCCTCCACCCACGTTCCCCCCGCGGATTCCAGTTTCTTTTTCAGGCCGCCCACAATGGTGCGGTTTGCATTTTCCACCTGGTCATTTGCTTGACGGTAGCACACGGCCACTCGGCTGTGAGTAATGTGCCATTCTGCACAGAACCCCTCGAACTCTTGCCCCTCGAACTGGCGTCCGTTGTTGGTGATGAGTTGCATCGGGACCCCAAAACGGCACAAAATGTTTTTGTACACAAAGTGCTTGCAACAGGCACTTGTTATGGTTGCCAGCGGTTCCGCCTCTACCCACTTGGTGAAGTAGTCCACTGCTACTATGAGGTACTTCCTTTTTCCCGACCCCATGGGCAGAGCTCCTAATAGGTCCACTTCCCACCTGGAGAAGGGGATGACTAAGCTGATGGGGGTGTAGCTCGTGGCTGGTCGGCTGGGGGCGACTTGGAAGTGCTGGCAGGTCTCGCAACTCCGGGCGTAGTCGGCGCACTCCTTGGCCATTTTGGGCCAAAAGTACCCCTGTAAGATGGCCCTTCTGGACATGGCGAAGGCCCCCTGGTGGGCTGAACAGGTCCCTTTGTGGATTTCTTCCATGACTGACCTGGCTTCGTCTGGGTACAGGCAGCGCAGCAAGGCGCCGTTATAGGACCTCTTGTAGAGCGTGTCCTCCATGACCACGTACGTGGGGGCTCGCCGTTTCACCAGCTTGGCGTCGACCTCGTCGGGAGGTAGCGTACCTGTCTTTTTGTACTCCTTGAGGTGGTCCAACCAGCAGAGAGGTCAGATCTGCACGGGTAGGACCGGGTAGGCGTCCAGGCTCGACCTCTTGAAATCTTCAATTCGGGCTATTTTTGAGATATGTTCCGGGGCCCCTTGGGCGAGCTTGGATAACATGTCAGCATCCATATTCTGGTCTCGGGGTACCTGTAGGACCTCGTAATTGATCAGCTGCCCCAGTAGCTGGAGCACCACGTCCCGGTACCTCCTCATTCTTTCATCACTTGTTTCAAATTCACCTGTGACCTGTCCCACCACGAGTCTAGAGTCACATCGGATTTTGAGCTTCTCCACCCTCATATTTAGTGCGTGGCGGAGCCCCCCCAAGAGTGCCTCATACTCGGCCTCGTTGTTGGATAACTTGAACGCGAAACGGAGGGCGTAGTAGGCCCGAAACCCCTCCGGTGTTATGAGGACGACTCCACCCCCGCAGCTTTTGATGCTGGAGGACCCGTCCGTTGAGAGGGTCCACCACTCCTCGTCTTCATCCCGGACCCGCTCCGTTGCCTCCCGGGCAGTGCACTCGACTATAAAGTCAGCCAGCGCCTGCCCCTTAATGGCGGGTCAGGGCTTGAACTGGATGTCGAATTGGCTCAGCCGCATGGCCCACCTGACCAACCTGCTGGCCGACCCCGAGGCCCTCAATACTATGTCTAGCGGTTGGTTGGTGAGGACCTGCACGGGGTGGGCCTGGAAGTAGTGGTTCAGCTTCTTTGTCGTCACATCTACCGCGAAAATGGCCTTTTCCACGGGTGTGTACCTGATTTCTGCTCCCCGTAGAGCTCGACTCGTGTAATATATGGGCCGCTGGACCCCCTCGTCGTCCCGGACCAGCACGGAGCTGACCGCGGCCTGCGAGATGCCCAGGTATAGATATAGGACCTCCCCCTTAACGGGTTTGGCCAGGGGGGGGGGGGGGGGAGCGACATCAGGTATGTCTTGAGGTCTTCGAACGCCTTCTGGCACTCTTCGGACCACTCAAAGCCCTTAGTCTTTTTGAGGACTCCAAAGAACGGCAAGGACTTCTCGGCCGACCTTGAAAGGAAACGGCCCAGGGCTGCCAACCGCCCGTTGAGGCGCTGGACCTCCCGGAGGAACCTCGGAGGTTCCATGTCCAGGATGGCCTTGACCTTGTCGGGGTTGGGTTCAATGCCCCTCTTCGAGACCATGTACCCCAAAAATTTCCCCCCGTGCACCCCGAATGTACACTTTTTGGGGTTCAACCGTAAATTGAAGCGTTGCATAATTGAAAATACCTCGGTAAGGTCATCTGTGTGGAGGTCGGCGTCGGTGCTCTTAACGATCATATCGTCGACGTAGGCCTGGAGGTTGCGGCCGAGGACCTGCTTGAACACCTTGGCCACCATTCGGGTGTAGGTGGCACTCGAATTTTTCAGTCCGAAAGCCATGACCTTGTAGCAATAGACCCCCTCCGGCGTGGTGAAGGCTGTTTTCTCCTCGTCGGCTTCCTCCATAAAAATTTGGTGGTACCCTCTGAACGCATCTAGGAAGCTCATAAGGGCACAACCTGCAGTCTCGTCCACTAGCTGATCGATGTTGGGGAGGGGAAAGGAGTCCATAGGGCAGGCCTTGTTGAGGTCGGTGTAGTCCACGCACATCCTCCAGGTAGGCGGCTTTGGGGCGAGGACTACGTTAGCCAGCCAGGTGGGTATATGACCTCCCTAACATGACCAATCTCCAGCAGTGTGTCGACCTCCTTTTTGACGAACTCCCTCCTCTCGGCGGAGAGGTACCTTTTGTGCTGCTGGATTGGCCTGACCGAGGGGGTTGACGGCCAACTTGTGTGTGATCACATCTCGGCTGAGGCGCGGCATATCCTCGGGACCCCATGCAAAGACCTCCTTGTAGCTCCTGATGGTGTTGATTATCCGTGCCCGGAGCTCGGCCGGGAGGCTGACCCCTACCTTCACGACCCGGTCAGGTCAGCTAAGGTCGAGGATAACCTCCTCTGTCTTGACCACGGGCTCGGCCCGAGGTCGACCTACCTCCTCCCGAAATGCCTTCTCGGCGATGGTATGTACCTGGAGGTCCTTTTGACCAATTTGGCGGCACGCCTTCAAGTACCAGCTGCGGCTTACCTTTTGGTCCCCTCGGGCGACCCCGACCCCGGCTGGCGTCGGGAACTTGAGGCACAGGTGCTCCATGGAAATTACGCACCTGAGGTCTTCTAGGGCGGGTCGACCGAGTATGATGTTGTGGGCGCAGCTGATTTTCACGACTACGAACTCGACTTCCCACCTCCTGGTGTGAGGTGGGGTGCCTATCTCCACCTCCAAATTGATCGACCCCTCCGTCTCAATTGAGTCCCCCGTGAACCCAGACAAGGGGGTCCGTACTTGCTCCAACTGCCCTCTTGAGAGTCCCAGCTGGGTGAACGTGTCGTAGTACATGACGTTCACCGAGCTACCTGTGTCTACGAGCACCTGGTGCACCACCACGTTGTTGATGTCCAGCTTGACCACCAGGGCGTCTCGGTGGGGGAGGGGCCCATCTGGCAGGTCGGCGTCGGTGAACGTGATGGTTTCCCTCTTTGGTTTTTTCTCGTGGGGGTACGTGTGATCTCCCCCACGTACAAGCTCCTCACCCATCTCTTCCGCTCGGCTGGCGAGTCTCCTCCCTCGCCCCCCCCCCCCCCCCCCCCCAAAGATGACGTAGATGGCCCGTTTCTTCGGGGGCTGGGAGTCCTCCGTCGTCTTCTCCTGACGTCGGTCGCGTCGTGAGTCCCCTCCTCCCCGTGTGTTAGCCTCTTCAACAAAGTCCTAGGAGACTATGTCATCGAGCTCTCCCGTCGGGGTTGGTACGCGAGCCCGGCACCACCCGAGCTCGGGACCCGACCCGACCCGGTCCACCCGGGCCCGGTTAAACTTGAGATCTAACCACCCCCAATTTAAGGGGAGGTGGTTGGGGGGTTTGGCTTGTATAAAAACCCCCCTCCTTGTCCTAACAAAGGGCGATTCATTACATATTCTACACTTAGTACACACTTTGTCCTATCGAATCTTTGTAACAGCCAAATACTACGGCAATTAATATAATATACGGTCCCCAGCGACCTTTACGACATCGTTCTATATTATTCGCTTATTATTCTTATTATATTACGTACTTATCCGGATTTATTGATTCGGGCACACCCCCGGGTTAATTAAATCCATCACTTATAATACTTATAATAATTATGATGATATACATAGCTAGTAATAACACCAAGTAGAAGTAAAAGTAATACTTATAGATAGATGCCATGACTGCAATTAAGATGGGTAGGCTTTATGCCTTTATTTATTGAATAACGTAACTGAAGTAGAATATTATAATGGTGGATAGGATATGATAGAGCTGATCTGAGGCATATATAGTTTAACAGGTAGGAGCAGCCACACCACAAGCCCTAAGAATTTTTGTAGCATTATCAGCATACTGTGGATAGTTGCGAATGTACTCGCAAAGGCACTGGGAGCTCTGCTGCTTCACGATACTGCAACATTGAGGCGAAGGCGGCGGCTCCGCCGCAGACATGACCACCGGCCCACATGGTGACAGATCCGTCGTGTTGCATTCCTCCTGAGCCATGCTGAGCTCCGGTTTGGCGATGAGCATGGCCGCCACCATTATGCACACGGCGACTAGTGTCGCCCTAGACCCATTTCTCATCGTCATCATCTTCGAGTGGTCGGCCGGAGATTAGAGTTTTCTTTGTTATGTGTTTTTGCGTGGAGTGGTGGTGGAATGCAAGTTTTGGGTGATGATGATAGGGGTTTTATAGTGGGAGGAAGTTTATAGTTGGAGGGGTACTATTGACTTTTTACTTTTTCTTTTATGATTGACTTGGCATTTTTATTGATTAAGAAAAATGTAGTGAACCACATGTTTTTTTTTTCTTTGAATGTTACTGACTCTATTACATTGTAATATGTGTTCAAATACACTTTTTTAACCTAATGAAGCACAAAGAGTCAACAACACCTCCACCGGGGCTCAATCTCATGATGTGAGAGGTCACTACATGTCATCTAAGTACAAGGTGTTTGGCGTGAACCACATGTTCTAAAGTCACCATTCTAGTGATTCTTTAGAATGGAGATCGAGCTCTTTAAGTTGAATTGACCGGAGCATGGAGATGAATTTTCTTGTGTGCAAAGTCAATGACATGAATTGATTAGGAGACTCCTGCTTAGGCAACTCGCAATTTACCTCATCTATTGACACTTAAGTAAGAATTCTGAGGTTTAAGATTAACAAAAAATGATTGACACAATCTAAATATATGAAAGAAATTTTATTGATTAACTATTGAAGGGGTACTATTTTGCTTAGGAATAGTGAGACCTTTAATTTGTAAGATTTTGACAAACTTCATTATATTTACAACGGAGAGATTTTTTTTTTTGAAAATTACAACGGAGAGATAGTTTAACTCTAATATATTAGTAATGTACCCTTGCCATGTACAAAATAATATGACTACACGTCGCTTAACTCTGACTTATAGCTTTGCATGGAAAAATTTTGAAAAATAAAAATAAGTTTAAATAAACTAAAACTTAAGTACATAAAAATGTATTTTTCATATACATACATAAATACATACATGTATATGTATATGGGTCCTAGCTATTCTACTGTGAACAAATTTGGATTTTCTATCTAATTGATTTAACTGTGAAAAAATAATTTTTTTTAGGGTGTGTTGATTCTAAATACCTAAAGAAATTGATGGTAAGTGTTCTTTTTTTTTTTTGGTAGAGAGTCTTTTTGTATGATTTCAGGGGTTTGCTGCTCCTCGGCAGATTAATCAATATATATATATATATATATATATATATATATATATATATATATATATATATATATATATATATATATATATATATATACACACTAGTTTTTTACGCGCATTGCGCGATTGGGATAATGCCCAATGTTTTTTTTTTTTTTTAAAATAAGTACTTTAAAGTATATTAAGAATTTGCGTATTTAAATAGGTAATTCTTCTCCCAAAGGTTGAGTCCCCAACCCCAAGGGCCCCCCACACTCCGACCCGACAGAGCATTGTGGGAAGTTGTAAATCACGGTGACTCAATGGTTCAGCAGACAGGACCAAATGCCGGTGCGAACAAGGAATCTGCCCACTTTGGACATAATTCCTGCACTGCCGCCGCTGAGGTTCAAACCTTGGTCTCTTCTCCCAAATACTGCCCACTAAACCATTAAGCTAAGCCCGTGCAGGTTAAATAGGTAATTCTAAGTTTACAAATGCAAGATAATATAGTCAAGATTGATAATAATTGTCAATAAAATAATTGTATAGGTATGGTTGAAACCAAATACGGGACATAAGGGAGAACAAATAAAAATTAGGGCATAAAATATTAAATATATACTAATATTGTTTGAGGAGATTTTGACATTAGGATTTGTGGTTATGTTCTATTAAGACTTTAATATTAGAATTAGATTAATGGTGTAGTTATAATTCTATATTAGACTTTAATATTAGAATTAGACTAACGGTGAATTAACGGAAAAGTTAAATGGATAATCATATAATTAAGGATAAATTAGAAAATCTTAAAAGAAAAAAATTAAAACCTGAACAATATGAACCATTCATTTGATTTAATAATTTGGCGGTCATTTTTTCTACCCAATGTTAATAATTAAATAAATTCGTTGGTCAAATCCGCTAACATAATCCACTAACTGCGGATTGTCAAACAAGGACATTGCAAGGTAGTTCTCACTTCAATTTGTTGTGTGATTTGAATACTCTCTTTGTCACAAAATCTCTCAAGTAGTTAATATGGTTGGCTTTATTAATTATACTTTTTTTAATTTTTTCATGGTATTAATAAAATACTTCGTAAATAAATATATAGCATTATTTTGTATTATAACTTTGATATTTAATTAGAAAAATAGTGCACAAAAAAAGATAATAGACAATGTAGTGAATATACTCAATTGATGAATTTGAATGTAAAAATTTTTACATTTGAGAAAAATAAAGACAATATAACTAATGAAAATATTTCTCTTAATTAATTTATTGATAATGAATAATTTTTTTTCACTGAATTAAGACATTGTAAGGACAATGTAGCGAATATAATCAATTAATAAATTTGAATATAAAGAATTTTTATATTGTAGAAAAATAAAGACAATATAACTAATACAATTATTTCTCTTATTTAATTTATTGATAATGAATAATTTTTTTTTGAATAAAGGCATTGTGGACACATAATTATAAATTAAAGAAATGCATATCTATAATTTTTTGTTGTAGCTACTAAATTATTATTTATATATAATTTAATAAGAGTAAAATAGAGTACTAATTATACCAACTTTGATTGTGATGAGGTTCAAACCTAAGACCTTTTTTTTTTTTTTTTTTTTATTTTTTTTTATTGAAATCAATGAGTAAGTTAACGGTGAACTAACGGCAATTCTTAAAATTTTAACGGAATTAGTAATGGTGTGTGGTATTTTAGGAAATTTTAGTGTAAAATTTAAATCTTATCAATCTTTTAATCAATCTGAGCCATTCATTTGATTAAAATCTGTGACCGCCATTTTTTCTTCCCATTATAGGCCTAACTCTCTTGGGCTCTTATTAGTATAGTAGATATAGGGATGCACTCAGGTGCGAATAAGTGCTCAGGAAGGAAATGCGAACGAATCAGCGCGCGACACGTGTCCAGATCTAATAACTTAAAAAAAAACGCGGTGGCATTTTCGTAAATAATTGAACATCGAAGTGCAAGTAAAATCACTTACGAACTACTTTCACCTATAAGTGCATGTAATTTTTCCTTGTTAGCATTCACTTTCCGCAAACATTCATGCACCTAGGTGTGCTTATAACTATATGTGCAACTATTTATAACTATAGGTGCAACTACTTATAACTATAGGTGCACCTACTTTCACCTATAAGTGCATGTAATTTTGCCGTGTTAGCATTCACTTTCCGCGAACATTCATGCACCTGGGTGTGCTTATAACTATATGTGCAACTATTTATAACTATAGGTGCAACTACTTATAACTATAGGTGTACTTACTTTCACCTATAAGTGCATGTAATTTTGTCTTGTTAACATTCATTGATCTGAGTTCAGCGGGTAGTAATACCCCTGAAAACCACTCGCAAACATTCATACACCTAGGTGCAACTACTTATAACTATGTGTGCAACTACTTAGAACTATAGGTGCAACTACTTAGAACTATAGGTGCAACTAAGTATTGATGCTCAGTGTAAATTTTTACTTGCACCTATAATACATTTTACATGCACTTGTAATACATTTTACTTGCACTTCGATGTTCAATTATTTACGAAAATGCCACCGCATTTTTTAAAAAAATCAGTGTTTCTCATCCATTAGATCTGGACACGTGGACGAACAGAATTCATTCCTATTTCGCGCCTGGGCGAGCCGTTCGCACCCGAGTGCAAGTCTATATATATATATATATATATATATATATATATATATATATATATATATATATATATATATATATATATATATATATATATTTTGATAAAAGTTGAGAAGAGTTAATTTCACGTTGAGGGTACATGAGTCTTACAAAGATGAATTTTTTTGAGTTAATACCCAAAATGGTCCCTCGACTATGTCATAATTATCAATTTGGTCCTCAACTACCATTCTTATCCAATTAAGTCCTCAACTATGTAACTTTTACTCAATTAAGTCCTCAACTATATAATTCTTACCCAATTTAGTCCTCAACTATACAATTCTTACCCAATTTAGTCCTCTGTATTAATTTGACTGTTTGTTGACTGTCAAAAGTCGGGATAAAATTATAATTTTACAAGATTTCTCCTTCCTCTGCATTTAGCAGCGCCAAACCATGCAGCAATACACTCCGATCAGATTTCGATCGTCAAAAAATCGTTGGAAATCAAATTCATGGGCTATCCGATGCATAACCACTACTTCGATACTGACAAGTTTAGAACCCAACCGGAGCTTATTGCTACATGGTTTGGCGCTGCTAAATGAGGAGGAGGGAGAAAACTTGTAAAATTATAACTTTATTTCCACTTTTGACAGTCAACAAACAGTCAAATTGACAAAGGACTAAATTGGGTAAAAATTGTATAGTTGAGGACTTAATTGGGTAAGAATGATAGTCGAGGACCAAATTGGTAATTACGACATAGTCGAGGGACTATTTTGGGTATTAACTCAATTTTTTTTGTTACTTGTGTGTTTGTTTAATTACTTGCGATTGCATGCATATATGCTACTTGTCAATTGTCATAACACTCAATATGAGAGAACGACATAACTAATACCCACACTCACTGTGAAAATTTTGCATCAAACAATAAAACTCTTTTTATTCATTAATTAGCTACAATGACTTGATGGATTAGTGGATTACATCCTATTTTAAAAAGAAATATACTTATATTGCCACGGTGAATCATTTTGATAAAAATTTTTAGTTCCTTAGCAGGATCCTTATGTACATATATAAATAAATTAAATATGTGTTTAACATATATATTTGGCAACTACCATGTAGTGTGATGACATCCTGGTTACCCTTCTACATAGATGATTATAGGTTTGAATCCCTGTAATGGGAGTTTAGATTTTTTGAGCTAA